GGAGGAGGAGGAGGAGGAGGAGATAGAGGTAATGCTCCTTGTCCCGGTCTTGGCCACGCGGACGTAGCACCACCAGGTGTACCAGCAGCTGGTCTAACCAACCAGGGGGTCATGGACGTGGACGTGGAAACACCGCGCTCAACAACCACCTCCATCTTCACCTCTACCTCAAAATGGACCATTTTATCTTGATCAAACAGAAATGCCACCGGTGTGTCTTCATCAAAGCCGCTGATATCCACCACGTTCCTCCTCTCTCTGCTGCTCTCCTTTCCACAATCTCCTCCATGTGCTGCCGTTCCCGTTCTCGTAGCTGTTGGACCATGTGCACTTTGCCCAGCACACCCATCCCTAGAAACAGAAGGAGGCAGGACTGCTTTGATAGTGTTCATCCGTACTTCACGAGATTCCCTCGGAGCAAAGACCCGCAGCGAGGCCTTGTGCTTGCAAATGTACTCAAGAACAACAGCTCGGACCGTGGCGACTGTGAGATGGGAGAGAGAGCGCAGGATGGTGAGCTGGTGGGTAGGGCTGTTGGAGGGAAAGATGATTGTTATTAGGGTTGGTGTTTTAGTTCCTCTAACTTCGTCGCTGTTGGAGGAAGTAGACGAAGAGGGCGGAGTCATGCTGGAGCTGTGGTTGGTTTTGGGAGAAAAAAAAGAGGCGGAGGCAGAGACAGAAGCGGTGGAGGAGACGGTGCTAGCCGCCCCTTGCAATAGGGGGGATGCAACAGGTGGTAATTCTGCAGAGTCACTGGGTGTTGCTGTGATTTTTGCCAAGGAAGAGGAAGAGGAAGAGCAAGTGGTTGAAGATGAGGGTGTCTGAATAACCGCAAGAGGAGGAGGGGGAGGAGGAGGAGGAGGGGGAGGAGGAGGAGGGAGGGGGAGGAGGAGGAGGAGGAATTATTCCCGCTGCAGAATATGCATTCGATTTCTGAACATGCCAAGGGGCAGAGCCGTTGTAATGGCTAACCCCTCGAGACATTCGTGGAAAATGTGGAGGAGGTGGTGGTGGCGGCGGTATACGATATTGAAATTGGCCCGTCGTTGATGGAAGATTATCTAGCCTCGAAGAACTTCCAGGTACAGCATCAACAACGGTTGAAAGTGCCGGAAAAGCCGTGGTAACTGGGAGTGTCTGTGACGGCACTTGCGCATGCCGAACATAATGCCCCAAGTATGCCCCCGTCAGCTCCATCGCTGTTCCATGACACTTCGGAATCTGGGGTTGTGAATAGTTGTGCTGGCGGTGAATCGCCCCGTTGGGATCTCTTCCAGTTCCCGCACTAGAAAAGATGGTTGTCGGTGGTGGTGGTGGTGGAGGAGGTATACGGCTCACTCCATTCCCAATTCCCCCATTCAGCCCCATATTCCGAATCGGCCATCCAGGTGGTGGAGGCGGCAGAGGAGGTAGATTTGTACCGCGCATACCCGTGATGCGACTATGATATGGCATGTTAAACCGCTTAGCAGTGGTTGGTAGAGGTCCGGAGACTGAGTGACGGGTGCATGCCGCAGCAGCTCCTAGGTTGCTGCGGATTATTGAGCGGTGACTAGATGACGAAGAGCTTCTTGAGTCTGAGCGTGATCGTCTGGAATCGGATTCAGATCCGGATGATGACAGGCTTCTTCGACGGCGCCCGCGCGACCGAGAGCGGGAACTGGAGTAGCTGTCTTCACGAGAGCTTGAGACGGACCTCCATCGAAGTGTTCTCCCACGCTGCTTATGTCTCCTGGATCCCCTCCCCCTATGACTAACATTTTCCCCTTTATCCTTCTTCTTTATCTTCTTCATCTCCTGGTGAGTAGTGCAGCAAGGCAAGGAACACGAAGTAGACCCGGAGGAGTGCTCTTGGCTGGGCTTGTCATACTCCTGTTTCCCAGCGTTATCTCTGGCGGCTTGGCGAAGATGCATGCCGCTTGGAACGAAGCTGAATCCGCGGGTCTGGATGCGATTTTGCACACATTCCGCTGATTTGACCATCAATGAGTGCAGAGCCGAGTAGATGGTCGGTCCCGCTTCCAGCAGAAGAGGAGCCCTGAAGCAATCATTGGTCCTCAGTACCACGGCTTCGAACTGGTCTGCTTCTTTGACGATGATGAGAGATAACTCGTCGTTTGGGCAACTGAAGAATCGACAGTTATCTGGGGGCAAGGTCAGTAACCCATCCTGTTCTGGTTGAGGCCAGTCGTAGGTAGTAAAAGGCCCGAAAGAAGAATTCTGAGTGAAAGAAGAGGCTAGAAGTACGGATTTGAGCAAGATAAGGTAAGTGGAGAGGACTCACCCAGGATCATGTCCTGCAACCGAGGGACAGGAAATGGATCAGTGACGGGTGCCATCGTTGGAGTGTTGGTATGGCCAGTGACATTAGGAGGAGTAAAGATCTTCGGTTCGATCAAGGGTACTAGCATTCCGGAATGGGCGTTGAACAGCCCTTGTAGGAGATGCTAGAGTAGACGAGGTTGCCATTGAGAGTGTCATGTCCAGGAGGCTCAACGACATATTTGTACCAATCTGTGCGTTGTCATTCCTGTCTCTGATTTCAGTGTCAGCATGGAAAGAAGCGGCCGAGTTATCCCATCCCAAGGCAGAACACGGAATGAAGAGGTTGGAACCTGACACGGCAGGTACATGTATAACACCTACTTTGTGTTCATGAAAGTGAGGCTACGATTCATGTGTATGCATGCTTGTCGTCACATCACTGCCAACACTGCCTTGCCTTGCTTGCACGACGACAGTCATGGGTTAGGTTGGATAACACACCGAGGGAATCGAGGCGTAGGTACACTAGATGCCTGGTGATGAGAGCATAACCTATAAGCAGGGGGGATGTAAGTCGTGTCCGTATTAGCAACGGGACGCATATGCGAGGCCAACGTGTGGTAACGAGCTCGTTGAAGCTCAAGGCTGTCGGGATGCCAAATAAGCATATGTAGCCTCGCCCGAGTTGAGGAAGCCGGCGAGAGTAATTTGGGAAGAGGCATATTGAAGCTGAGGCACGCCATTAAGGTTCCACTTGGCTTCCCGGTGACTGTTCTTTGTTGAACGTCGGACACTCAAGTTGCTCGTGTGGACTTGACCGGTACTAGGGCTGGTGAGGCCTTGGAGATGACCGGGTCTGGTTGTGCAGAATTCGGAACCGGGTCAGCCTGGAGTTTGGAAACTGGGTATGGGTTGTTATTGTCGACATGTGGGACATACATGGATCTTTTCCACTTACTATTCAAAAGAAGCCACCAACATGGGCTCTGCGATACAGCAGAGACATAATGACATGCCACACAACGGTACACAGGTTGTTGTCCGGCTTGTGTCTTACGTTGATCAGATTAGACGATCCAGGATCTCGGGAAGTGCATGGTTCGACTGCCTAAATCTAGCCTTGTTTCACAAGAGGTTGTGCTTCCCGTTTAAGCAAATGAAAGCAAAGCATGGAAGAAGCGGAAGGGTGACGATAACCTGACAATCGAACCCGTGATGGAAGTAAGACCGATTTGAACGACACAGCAGATAAGGCGTAAAAGCATAGGCAATGAAGCGTGGACTGAAGCTGTCAAACTTCCAATCCAGATAACAGACCATCAGCAGCCAAGATTCGCTTGAATGAAGTGGGTGAACAAAACCCCAACTCTTGTTGAAGGCAAACAAAAATAAGGAAAGCTTCATGCCACGAGTGAAGTACAATCCCCGAAACGTCCAGTCCTCATAGTTCATACCTGTAACAGCCTCAACCTAACAGACGCCAGAGAAGTGAAGATGCAAAGTCGCGACTAAAAATACAACTTTTATTGATTCCAGCGCTAGAGAAATTTCAACCAAGGAGCCTCCCTTCCATACCAACCCATCTACCTGACCAAACAAGAATGTGCCGAAAGATAGACTTAATCGATACTCAACTTTTCTAGACGCGACTTCACTGCCTCAACGAGAGCAGTTTCACGATCCAGCAAGCTCATGACTTGCGCGACCTTTTGCTTCCGAATGTCGGACGGGATCTTCATAACAGGCATCGGCGAGGGGGTACCGTCAATGCTGTCCGTGCTCTGAAGCTGCTGGGCTTGCTCAAACAAGGCGTCCCTGAGGGTCTGGACCTCCTCGAAACGTTTGAGTGAGTGTCCGGCAGTGTTGATAGATGCTGTGGTGGTATCCTCTTCTTCCTCCTCGTCGCCCAGGATGCTGCTTGCCAGAGTGCGGACCTCCTCTGTCCAAGCCTTTTCCTTGTCGCTCAACTCCCGGGTCGAGACCTGACCCAAGCGCTTGCGCAGGTTGTCTACCCGGCGAGCGAGGTTCTCCTGTCTGACCTTCATCACATCTATCCTGTTTCTGACGAGCATTTCCTCGGAAATGTTTACTTCCTTGTCGCTCCTGCTCTCTCCTTCCCCAGAAATGGTTTCGATCCGCTGGTTAACCTCATAGACCTTGGTGATTTGCTCCTTCAGCTCGTAGGTCAAGGCTTCACACTTCCTGAAGAGCTCGGCGACGGCATTGTTGAGTTCGAACACCTCGGAGCTAACAAGGCGATGGCCCTCCGTGAGGATTTCCAGAGTAGCAACTGACAACCGGACCTCCTGCTGCATAAGCGGGCGCTTCCTGCTAGTTCTCAGTGAATCCAACCAAGGAGCCAGCGTGCTAGGCCGGCTCAAAACCTCGGCAGGATGGAACAGCGGCCGAGGTTCCCAAACCGTGAGAGGTTCAGGGGTGTCTCCAGGTCCGGTAAGCGCAGGGGTTTCCTGACGATCCGACATCAACTCGCTCTTAGGCGTATCGAAGAACATGATGACCGGGTCATTGTGAGTAGCTGACAAAACAAAGTGACCAAGATCGGAGCTCCTGAATGCCGTAGCAGCAGCAAGGACATTCTGGGCATGCTGGGGCGTGTAGATGCGGTCGACCTCGGCGCGTGGTCCCTTGGCCAAGAGGTCAAACCGGAAGTCAACCCCAGCCTCCGAGTCACTCTGGAGCTCGCCCTCAAGAACGGAAACCCATGGAGCCAATGAGACATAGGTAATGCCAGCAGCATGTGTAACATAGAACGCATAGCGGGTGGTAGCATCCTCGCTGAACACGGGCCAGCTGTCTGGCGTGATTTCGGCTGGCTTGAGCGTGTCGAAAGTGTGGTACACGAGCAGGGACGGGGCCTCGTGGTCAGAGAAACCGAAACCTCGGGTCGAGGCGTTTCGAGGAGGCAACCATTGAGCCTCAACCCCACCAATATCGAGACAGATCTTGACCTGTCCGCTGGTCGACAAGAGGCAGATGACAGACAACGAGAGACTATCTATATCGTCATCATCGGCATAAAGCTCAACATCTTCGCCCATCATGAGGTCGGCATAATTGCGTTTGGCGCCGATGACCATAATATCCTTCAGCTCCACCTCGTCGTCTTGCTCATCCTCGGGACCAACGTCAAACTCAAATGGACCCTGGAGTCGAGGAATGCTCCCCGGCCGAGAGGGGCGCGAATACACTTGGGTCTCTTCCCCATAGGGGCCTTCATAGTTTTTGGGCTCCTGGTTGTCGAGATCGGCCATCCACTCCAGCTGTTGCTTAGCGAGCAGCTTCTCCTCCTTAGTGGCGTCCGGATCGGTCTCGAGGGTTTCGATCTTTTGAACGACAGAGACGGAAAGCGAGGGAATGAGCGTGGGAGGAGGCGACCAGCGGCGCGGCAAGAGGGGGCATAGAGCATAAACGTCTCCCTCGGCCATGGCCACCCACAATGTCATTGGCGCCCAGCCGTTGGAGTTGCGCGAGGCAAAGCAGGCCGAAGCGACCTTCATGTCGAAGTCATCGGGGGAGAAGGCCTTGTTGGTCGATGTCGAGGCACCGAAATCCTGGTCCACTGAAGTGCCGTCGGCCAGCCTCTTGAGGTCGACCTCGAGGGTAGGGGTGTCGAAGGACCACCGGTCGATAGTGGAAAGCTCCCATACGCGGACCACAGCGTCTTCGGTGACGGTTACGAGGCAGTTGCCGTTGACGCCCAGAGGGTGCCATACTGCGCTGACAACAGCGGACTTGGAGGTGACGTGAGTGGTAGGGCCAAGGGTCCAGAACTTGGGCTTGAAGGGCGCTGTCTCTCCAGAGGTGAGGTGGGAGGTGTCGGGTAGCATACAGACGTGGACTGTGTGAGAGGTCAGGACGGCCAACTGATCCTTGTTAGGGGAGATGACCAGCTGCCGGATCTCGCTGGCGACAGGGGTCTTGATGACCTAGAAGAGGAAAGCCATGTCAGTACCGAACCCAAAAATGCCATGGTACTCTTCTTGCCATCTTCTATCGAGTATTGGGGATGTGAATCCACATACTCTGTAGCCCGGTCCCTGGGGAAGATGGCTTGTCTCCTCATCATAGACCTCGAAGGAGCTATCGGAGCTATTTCCGTTGAGGTGGCTGGCAGCACGGGCCCGTGACTGATGGGCTTCGAAGGCATAATTCAGATAGGCGATATCTCCCCATCTGATCTCCCTTCCGCTGGCAACAAAGACCTCGTTTCCTCGTTGGGCGATGGTACGTTTGGGCCCCGAACTGGCGTTCCTAGAGTAGGCTATCGAAGCGGGGAGCCGACTGTTGTCCTCGGACTGCTTGAAGAGCCTGTGGCCCGGGTTTGGGTCCTGGAGCCAGGGCGCCGAGTAGCTCTTAATTTTGGGCATCCCGACGGCTTTGGTTCGTCCTCGGTGGTTGGTGGTATGGGCTCTTGTCGCTATTCTATCCAAGCTTGGTGAATCCTACAAACGAGGGCGGTGCGTGTTTGCGCAAATAAATCCAAGTTTGGTGTTCTGGCTTCCTCTAGGCAGAAATAGTTAGTGTAGAGGTCCTAGCATCCACGGGTCGGTTTCCGTTGTCGTGCTTGCCCGCACTTTGGTTGCTGTGCTGAAAGTAGGTGTGCTGCAGCAGTGGGCAGGTGCACTAGGATCAGGATCTGTGTATGTGTGTATGTAGGTATGTAACGGGCATTCGTAAGGAATTTGGCGGACCCCGATTTTTGAGGTTGAAAAGGTGATCAAGAACAGAGGCCAAGGGAGAGAGAGAAGGGAAAGAGAGATTGGGATCCCTTTTTGAAAGCGGCAAGGCCAGGGCCGTCGAACGATGGGAAGCCGGGAAAGCGAAGTTTGCTAGTGGTCTCGGTTGGCTGGTCAGGATGGTAACAACAAGGTTTGACTACCTTAGCGTGTTGTATTGTAAGGTATTCCTCTGGATGCCACTATGCCCAGTCCGAGCCAGTGCTGTAAATGAGGCGTCCAGGGCGTCAGTAGAGGCGTCTCCTTCCGTGTGTATGCCGTGTGTTTTCCGTTGCTCAAGGCTTGCCTTGATCGATCGTGTTAGCTTCCCTTTTAGCGCGTTTCCACTTCTTCCACAGCCGTTTAGTCCGTTTCAACTGTTCGTGTTCAGACTGTTCAAACCGTGTCGTCTCACGCCATTATTGAGGTGATCAACAGGAGACGGCCAGCCCGGGATCCATGGATGATGGGAGGAGAATGGACGACCTACAGAGGGGATAGATGCTATGAAAGGTAAGGTACAAAGTAGGTAGTGCTGTGACGCGCCTGTAAATTCCCTTGGGTGCCAGATTGCGGTCCAATCGGCCGGCAATTCTTGTTGGATCAAAGCTGACCACCACTGCTTGCCCTTGCTTCCCATCTCCTCTGCCCTTGCCTGCCGTCGTCATATTTGCGGGCACCTCGTAAAATAGATCGGTAGGGTACCTGACCCACCTCCAACGGCTGGCCGGTTAAAGTGCCAAGACTTTGCCCTGGACTGCCCAGACTGCCATGATGCTCCCTGCACTGTGACACTGTGCGCCAACAACGAACTCGAAGCCTGCCGTCGCGGTCCACGGCCAGTCCAGTCGCGCTCAGCAAGCTGCCTGCCTGCCCACTGTACTTTAGCAGTTCCAATTCATTGGCAAACCATCATCCCCACGGCATCGAGGTCTCAGAACCCCAAACAATTGAACTTGAGCTGGAAGCTTTCCCTGGTTTCCTTCTTCCTGGTTACACTTTCTACTCAAAGACTGATAAATCCATCCTCACTAACCATGTTGAACACTCGCCAAAGGAGCACCGTAGAGCGCCTTGACAGGCCAAGCGCCTACTTTTTCAACAAGGTGAGTGCTCCCTGACGGCATTTCCATTTCCAAAACATTGCCAATCTCTCCTGTCCATAATTAGCACATGGCCAGTTGCTGACCCATCCACTCACCATCACAGAACAGGCGCAACAGACGTCATGACCGGGACCACCGCGATGGAGAAAATGAGGACAGTAACATGCATCCCGAGGCGCACGACGACCCGTTGAAGGATGCGACCACTCTCTACGTCGGCAATCTGTAAGTTTGCCTCCCCCACGCTTGCCCCTTGGTGATAATCACATGCAGTCCTTTAATAATAACAAAACTAACGGAATCCTCCTCGGCAGTTCCTTCTACACTACAGAAGAACAGGTTTACGAACTCTTTAGCAAATGCGGCGAGATCAAGCGCTTGGTCATGGGCCTCGATCGTTTACAAAAGACACCGTGCGGTTTCTGCTTCGTCGAATACTACACCCATCAGGACGCTCTCGATTGCATGAAGTACATTGGCGGCACCAAGTTGGACGAGCGCATCATCCGAACCGATCTCGACCCAGGCTTCGAGGAAGGACGACAGTACGGCCGTGGCAAGTCGGGCGGCCAAGTACGGGATGAGTACCGTGAGGACTACGACGAGGGCCGCGGTGGTCTTGGTCGCCAGATCCAGGCCGAGAGGATGAGGGAGCATGACCACAAGCGTTACGACGACAACGACGAACAATACGGCCGCTTGCGCTAAGCCAAGATTGCATGGGAGTTACGCGGAACAATAAAGAGTGGAAGGGAGTGCATCAAGATATGTGCACCGGTATCCACCCAACCAGTCGGCATGACAAATCGACAGGAAACACATATAATCAGACCCTGAAATTACCAGGGAAGGTGGAGGTGAAACAGAGAAGCGTAAAAGACAAATACCCCTTGGGAGATATGATGTTCGTTCTTGTATTGGTATCTTGTTATGGTATGTGGGGAAATTATGGATTCCCCATCCATTCGGTATATGGCTTCACAACATTCTTTTGTGATGCTTGCCTGGCCGTGTTTGCACTGCTGCTCTCTGCATTGGTATCTCAACACGGAGCGAGCAGGAGTGGGGTGTCCATGATGGACAGAACCTTAAAGTCAGTCAATCTCCTTACGAGACGAGACAGAAAGGCCCATCTTCTTTCATCCCTCAAGCAAACGGCCCCGTTATCAGTATATCCGACGCCATCCATGCCATTTCGCTGCGTAATGTTACAAGTGATATACATGCTTGCACGATATCGTCCATCGTCCGGATCGAAGGGCTTAGTAACCAGGAGGGTTGACTCTCTGGGAGACACGGGTCCACTTGGGAACCTCTGGAGAAGGAATGTCTGGTTAGCCTGGATCCTTGCATGTTGTCTAGTGATGCATCAAGGTGGTAAGGTGGCACATACTGTGAATGCCCTTGCGATACCTCTTCTCGTTACGGGCGAAGACGGTGTACTTGTCCTTGGGCAGCATCTCGGCCTCGGTGGGCATCTCAGCCCTCCAGCGTTGCACCGCCTTGACAGTCTCTCCCTTTTTGGCGAGGGCGTTCTCAATGGTGTCGACAACGCTGTCCACGGCCCTCAAGCGGCGGCGCTGCCTGAGCTTCTGGAACTTGGACATGCGCCATGGGATCTTCCTGTGTTTATCGCGTCATGGTTAGTATTCCTCCTAGAGCATTTTGGCGCAGTGCAAAAAAAGTGGCTTACCAGAGAAGACCTCCGGAGAGGGGGGTTTGTGAATTTGAAAGCCCCAAACATTGTGGTGGTGTGGTGGATGTTTGGGGGGAGAGCTGCTGCAACCAGTTCGCTTCGTCAGAATGGGTCCCGAAGGTATCGCGGGAATCGGCGCGGCGGGCGGACGTCGTCCAAACCACAGTCCCGTCCAAAAAATCGCGGGTCCGTTCGCCAACCCTAACCCTGAGCGCGCTTCCTATCATGTCCAAGTCTCGGACAAGCTGGAGCGAATGCCAAGACTCAGTCCTTAAAAGGGCCTGAACTCCCCCTTGCAAGCTCCACTGTTCAGCCTCGTGGAGTCCCCGCCATTTTGTGCTCCAAAATCACCCCCGCTGTCCGCGCACTGTTCGCGGCAGATGGACACACGGGTGCACGGAGGGGACACGGGAGCACCTGCAGCGTTAGCGCCATCCGTCACCGAACTTCCAGCTCCAACAACCGCGTCCACTGTCCACCAACCGCCCGCTGTTTACGATTTCCAGCATTCCAAGCAATCACCAAGAACAGAACACCATACCAATTCCGGAACATCTTCAGCCTGTCGCGACCCTATCACCAACGAAAGGATAGCGCTGGTCGCAAACACATTTTCGACGACACATACGAAAGCGAACGATAGCTCGATAGCTCCTCGATAGACCATCAGACCAACACAACCGGACACAGACAGGGGAGCCTGCGCATCAAGTGGGAATCAGGGACATTAGGGGACCACCAACACGACGACGGAACCACAGCAACAACAACAATCATGAGCTACTACTTCGCCATCATCGGCACCCAGGACAATCCTCTCTTCGAGTATGACTTTGGTACCAGCAAACAAGGCGGCGACGGCATGGCGCGCTTCACCGAACAAGCGCGACAGCTTAATCAGTTTATCATCCACAGCAGTTTGGACATAGTCGAGGAGGTTCAATGGACTAATGGGCAGATGTATGTCTTCCTTCGTTCCGCTCCTACCCTCCTTATCCCCTTCTTCTCCCTTCCTGCCCTTGCCCTCTCCAGCTCTATCCCCGCCAATATGCTAACCCCCCTTTCCTCCCCGCAGGTACCTAAAACTAGTCGACCGCTTCTTCACCTCCTACATCTCATGCTTCCTAACCGCCTCCAACATCAAATTCCTTCTCCTCCACCAACCCCCCTCCTCTTCTTCGTCAGGTCTCCCCGCCTCCTCGTCAGGAGCCTCAACCCTCACCTCTAGCAGCACCACAACCCTAGGCCAACACCCACCATCATCAACCTCCACCTCTTCGCTATCCGTAATCCCTTCCTTGTCCACCCTCACCGGCGGCGGCGGCAACTCCAGCACCATTACCTTAACCGGTGGTGCAAGCCGAACCTCGACGTCGATAGCAGCCAACCCGACCTCTCCCCAGACCGAGGAAGCGATACGGAATTTCTTCGCCGAGGTGTATGAGAATTACGTGAAAGCCATCATGAGTCCGTTTTACAAGACCAACATGGAGATTCGGAGTCCCGTTTTTAGGGCGAGGGTGGCGGCTGCGGGGAGGAAGTATTTGTAGGACGGATACAGCGAAAGGGTCGTGAAGTGGGAGAGTAGTAGTTGGGGGAGGGCCAAGGGGAAGGCTGTGGACAAGGTTTTGGCCCTGGACAGGGACATGGACATCGAAGAGGGAAAAGACCAGAAGCAGGAGGGATATGTTCCTGGGCACGGAGCGGGGAGAGAGAGACGCGAGCGAGAAAGCACCAGAGAGGACCAGCCCAAGGGACGGGGATGGATGTCTGGGTGGTTCGGAGAGTGATGGATTGGAGAGGGACGATCCGGATGCTATGGGTGTTATAGAAGATGCGGGAATAGGCTACCCATGCGATGACGGGACTAACGACAAGAAGGGATGTGATACGGTACTCGTAATGTTTTATACCCCTTGGATTAGCTGGAAGGTTTGAAGTCATTTTTAGTTGGAGCATACAAATGAAGACGGCGAGCAGTATCGTTCAGCCAGATGAGACCAAGATTTGTTACGCTTCATGATCACAGCTATGACTGTTGGTGCTGTCTAGCCTCTTGGTCTTTTGGAAGCAGGTGCCTAAGGTGAGACATGGCCAATGTTCTGTTCAGCCAAAATCGTACGGAATCACTTAGGCAAGCAGCACACGTCGCCGTTAAGGTGTAGGACCAAAAACTGAGGAAACACGCTGCAGAGTACGTTGATTTATCATGTAAAGTAATAGATGATGACTAGCCTGTTATGTGCCCATCATACATCTTCCTTTCTCTCATTTGGTGACAACTGAACGACAGAAGAATGAAATGAGAGAGGAAGCGCGCAACGCACTGTGACAACAAATCTTCTTCTCAAAACCATCCATCTCGCTCTGTATGTTTCTCATCATATCAAAGATGTAGTCGTCCCTTAAGCTGCCTTTGCCATGACTAACACAACGCCCTCCGCCAAAAACCGGCCGTCAAAAAGCGGTAGTAGTATCCGTGTGTGCCCCCCCCAAAGAACGCCATTTCCCTTGTGCGGTTGTATCAAAACTTGAGAATCGCAACACTTATTCGCCCAAAGCTTCATGCCAATGTTGTAGTAATCAATCGCTCGTTTGTTGTTCTTAGTATCGTCGTAAATGTCCCCCAACCAGAAGTATAAAGCTTCATGGTCAAAACATTTAACCACCGAAACCGTAGAGGGTACGGCCCTGGCGCTTGAGGGCGTAGACAACGTCGAGAGAGGTGACGGTCTTGCGCTTGGCGTGCTCGGTATAGGTGACAGCGTCGCGAATGACACCCTCAAGGAAGGTCTTGAGAACACCACGGGTCTCCTCGTAGATCACTGTTGGGGAGATGATGTGTTAGTTGACTGTTGTTGACCAAAGAGGTGAGGTGAGGTTATGGGTGATGGGAGGGTAACATACTGGCAGAGATACGCTTGACACCACCACGACGAGCGAGACGGCGGATAGCGGGCTTGGTGATACCCTGAATGTTGTCGCGAAGAATCTTGCGATGGCGCTTGGCACCGCCCTTGCCGAGGCCCTTGCCACCCTTTCCGCCTATAGAGACATCATGTCAGTATGTCTGATTGATAGATATGTTGTTGTCGACGACGGTGAAGTCAGATGCAAGCTGATGGTTGTGGACGATGTGTGAATGTGTGATGCAGTTGATGGTGGTGTGCTGCAAGTAAGGTGACGTGACGCGTTAAGGAGCCATGTCCCATGCATTCCCCACGTACACGCTCAACCACCAAAAAGGAATCGCGAACTCTTGGTCAAGGAGACCGTGCAGCGATGCATCGACGACAGCGACGTCGACGAGGATGAGAGAAACAAATGAGTATTACTTACGTCCAGTCATGATGAATTAGTTGATGGGGTTGTTTACTTGATGTAGATAATCCGTGGCGCGATGCACAGATTGATGGAGTACTGTTTGTGGATAAAAAAGACACCAAGAACGCTGAGATCAGGAGCAGGAAATGGAGAGGGTTTGGGGCGAGGGAGAGGATCTGGTTAAATAGGCACGGGAAACGGGGGGTGGAAAATGGAATCAGCGGGTCACCATTCACCAGAAGGGCAAGAAAGGTTTCAACAGGTGTCTGTGTGGCTGCGCGCCTGCCCGGATTGCGGCTTTGGGTGCTGATTACGAAGGGTGGAAAGTTCCATTGAGAAGGCGGGCGATAGCGGGAAGGCACTAATCCTTTTTCGGAATTGCGAGGGGTGCGCGGTTGCCTGTGTGGTGTGTGTTGTGTGAATTTATTTTTTAGAACTGAATCAAAACTGCCGTATTTTGCGACGTGCAAATCGCTTGTTAGTTCATGCTCCAAAAGCGTGCTGCTTGGAACCGTTTGTTTTCCTCCAAAAACAAAGGCCCCTGCTGCGCATCGCGTTGTGCTGTTGGTCGAAAAGGAAGCGGGAAACACCGCATGCTGGTCTGTGCTTGCCCCAAACCTTGCTTTTAGCGTTGTTGGAAACGATGAACGCTCGGGCCAGCAGACCGTTCCTTGGCTGATTCTGATCTCGAATTGTTCGGGGAGGTTCGCTCTGATTGGCTCTTGGGTGGAAATCGCGTCTGAAATGGGTGATGCTCTTGAAGAGAAATTGCAAGACAAGAGGAGGAAACAAGGGACAATGGGAAATTCGAGGATGGAAAGGTCGTGTGATGCATGTATTTGTATCTTCCAGAACCTTGGAGCACTCTGGAGTCACCCACCACAGATCACCCTCGCCTTGCCTCCCGAGTTCAGACGGTTTGCAGTTGCTGAAGCTGTCCCAGTGCAGTCCGGTACTTCTGGTTTAGTATCTCCATCGACAATGCCTTCCTCGCGTGTGGGCATCCGCTCTTGCCAACATTTCTCTTCAGAAAGTCACGATGATGACTTGATCCGTCCAAATCATCAGGCGCATGCCGGACAGGCCGCTCTTACTCGGATAGTTAGAGTTTGGAGATCATGCACTAGTAATTTCTTCATTTCTCTGCAACGACTGTTCTTTCCTTCCTTCGTCACCTCTTTCCTGTCTCCTTCACAAGGGGGATAACCGGGCATTCCAGACTCCCTTTCCAATGGATAAGATCTCTCGATCTTGGACAATGCATTTTTGAGGAAACAACACAGAGCGAAGCCTCCCTGGTCTCCCAGCGTGTTATTTTGAAGAGCCCCATGTGTGTGTGAGAGCTCTGAACCCGAGACTCAGTAGCCGCCAAATGCCCCGAATACCTTGGCCTCATCAAGCTTCTCCATCTCCGTTCCCAAGCATAAAAACGCCTCTGCCATGCAAACATGAATGTGAAGCAGTAGCTGGATCTGGAAACGAACGGCCTGCTCTTTCTGTCCCATTCCGTCAACCATCCGTCGCCAATAACATCATATCCATCTGGTAAGCTATGCTCTTCAGAAGCAATTTGTTGGGGGGTATGTAACTCGAAAGACGCATCATCATCATGCAACCTAAAATCCTTAGCCATAATCATAAAAGAAAGAAACTCCCACCAAGCCCGTACCATAAAAACCAAATGCAACATGTTTTAACTTCAGGGGTATCACTGCATCATGGAATCATCCGGTCCATCGTCATCCTCCAAGCTCTCGATGGCTTCCTTGATTTGGAGGCTCGCCTATAAGCAACAACAGTTAGCAGCATACTCTTTCACTGTCATCTTCCTCGACCTAGGACTTACCTTTGGGTCCAAGCTCAGAGCAATGGTAAAATGGCGCACCGCCGATTTCTTATCGTGCAGTGTCTTGGAGAGCTTGCCCAAAAGGAAATGCACCTGGGCCCTGTCCGGGGCCAAGTCCTTCAGAATCATGAGTTCCGTCTGTGCCGCCTTCGTTTGTCCCATCTGCAAAAGGGCACGAGCCTTCTTTAGTCGGACATCTGGAGCGCGCGGAGCCAGTTCGGCCGCTCTGGTGAAGTAGGGCAGTGCCTGCTTGATCTGTTTCTGTTTGTGCAATACCGAGCCCATGCAGCAGATCAACACCGCGTGAGTCGGATGGATGACCGAAGCAGCGTGATAATGGCTCAGCGCCTTGTCGTAGTTGCCCAGCTTCTCGTAGACCCTTCCGATGCCGTAATAAGCGTTGTAGTGGCGCTTATCCGCCGCAATGGCGTGTCGGTAGGCCGTGAGGGCCTTGTCGTATTCCTCGTTCTCTACATGCTCGTGTCCTTGTAGAGTATAGGCGTACGCAAATTTGGGATCAAGTTGCGTCGCCCGCTTGAAGCATCTCAAGGCTTGCTCGTGATCATATGCCAATGACCATGCGTTCCCAAGAGCGCACCAAGCTTCTGGTGAATCCCACACCGAGTCGATCATCTCATGGGCGAGGAATGAAAGTTCCGTCTCTTTCTTCAAATGCCACAGAACAGTCGAGTAGACCTCCATGTCCTCAAGCCGAGTTGGAGCAATAACGCGAAGACGCTTAAAATACTTCTCTGCCTCGGCATAGTTGGCCTGCTCGTACTGCGTCCTTCCCATCTGTGCCAAAACCCACGGTGTGTCTTGGTGACTCCGGGGGAGTGATATGTAGGCCGCGACTGCCTCTTGACACTGGAACTCAGATGAGAGCGAATAACCCGATCCCAGCTTTTTCAACAAATCGAATATTGTTTTCAAAGCTTCCTCAACCGCCTTGACCGACTCAGACTCCGCTGGTTTAGGGGCGGGTGGCAGATGTGGTGCTACCTGCACCACAGGGGGCTCCTTGGCGCGTGATGCCTCGGCGTGGTCAATGTCCATACCATGATCCTCCGGTGGCGGCTTGCGGTTGCCACTGATGACCCGACCAACGTTTGCTCCACTGGAGCCCGGCCGAGCAAATCGAGTTATTGGGGGCCTAGCCTTCCTCAGCTCACGGGTTGCTGCCGTGCTCGATGTCTTGGTTGCCGTCGATCTTGAGCCCACATTGAGCCTTGCGCTTCGCCTGGGTTCATCACTGTTCATTGATCTGGTTTGGACTGGGTGCCCCGCTGCCGTGCGTTTCCTTTCAGTAGTTGAGCTGGAGACCGTTGATGTTTTGGCGTTTGGGTCCGCATGATCTGTGGTTGATTCTTGGGCTTTGTCTTTCTTTCTTGTTCCCAGCCGGTGGCCCATTTTGGGCGGCGCATCAGCTAACGCAGAATCCGTTGCCTGGGCTGCCCGGGTTCTTCGAGGCGGTGCTTGCGGCGGCTCTGCTTGGCGTCCAGCACGACCAACATGAGGATTATGAGCGGTGGTAGCAGGCGCGGGTTGCGTTTCGCTTTCCTCGAATGGTTTTCCGGGCTGACTGGATGTATTTTCGGATTGAGAAGGATACATCTTGGATATAAAGCCATTTTCTGAATCTGGGTACGACGCTGATTCCTGGGATGTTCCACATGGCCCGAAGGGATCGCTTGGCTGCCTTTTCTGTTGCTGCCCCATCTTCTTTTGCTGCAATGGCTCTGGTGGCTGTGGAGAGGGACCTGCAATCCAGGCAAGGATGGACGTAGCGTCAAGGCCATGCTCGAGGTTGCGCGCAAGACCGTCGCTCGTCTTGAAAACGTTGGGCACTCTAACGCTCACTCCCATATCGCAAAGGCTTGTGAAGGCTTCCCACATGAACGGGTTTCGTCGTAGTGCCTCCTCAAAACATGGTATAGCCTTCTTCTTGTCGTCGTATGCTCGGTAGAGTCTGCCCAGGAGACAGCTGAAGGCGGCGGCATCGGGATATGGCATCCTGGTAAAAGAGGTGTGTTTCCCCAAGTTGTCCGCCTTGGACCATTGTTTCCTCCCATTTTCCAAGCCTGTGATCCCATCTTTGTATCGCTCCAACTCCAAACACGCCTGAGCGAAGACGTAGCAGGATCCCAGATGCGTGCCTCTATACCCCAGGCCCCGACTGACCTGGTAGGCAGTTCGAGCATCACCAAGTCGCAAGTGGGTGTAGGCGAGAAGATAGGCGGAATCGCAGAAGGATTGGTCGTGGGCATAAAGTCGTTCGGCAAAGAAGAGGGCGCTCTCGTAGGCACAGTTGTCGAGATGATAATAAATGGCCTGGCGTAGCAAAAGGGAGACGGTAACATTATTTGGCGTCATCTTCCCAGCCATGGCCGAGCCACCTAACCCGCGGTCGAAGTGGCGTACGAAATATGCTACCGGCGAAACCGATCCATGGGATCACCGAATAAGAGATGGTGAACTAAAGGTGATGCGCCTCGTCCGGAAACCCGAGTGTCGGAGGGTCGGCGGGAGTAGAAAATCCGCAAGAGACGGAGGAGTGGTTGTCGAGGGAGCGATGGCTGAATCGTTGTTCGTAATCGTGAAACTCGTGTGAATCGACGGGACAATCGCGTGTCGGGGATCAGTCTGCGCTTGCACGGTCAAAGCAAAAGTCGGGTGCAAGGGGGGATGGGCTGCGCTCAATGAAGGGCGCGCGAACAATGGAGGATGCAGCTGCTGTATTAAGAAAGTATCGACATGAGTAGAGTCGTTTGCTAAAAGCGTCGCAAAGTGTGGATGGAGACTTGAATGCTGAAGTGATGGAATGTTGAGGAATGCCGCTTTCGAGAAGCAAGATGGTCTGTGACGTCGGGGAAAAACAAAAAAAAGAATGGAAGATGAATGCAGGCCACCGGCAGGGAAGGGTCCAAGTGCGGCTTCTCCAACGACGACAACAACAACAACCTCTTGTTTGTCTAACACGACATGACCTTCCACTCTCCCAAACACTTTGTTGCGACCGAGCACCTGGTGGAGGAGGGATTGAGGTGGCGGCGGCAGCAAGGGCTGTTCTCAGTCGCGCGGCAGTGTTGAAGTCGCGGTACGGACGGCAAGTCGAAAAGGGTCACGGCCGAGCTCTTGATTGCTTCGTTGATGTTCCTACAGCGCTGGCTGGCTGTCACTGTCGTTCGCGACTTCAGGGCGAGACTTTGGGTTGGTTTGGGTGTATGTTGTGGTTGGGTGCAGCTGCGACCAATTGGGTGGGCTACGCGACGCTGCCTTCAAACCAAACACTGGTGGGGAGAACCTGCCGGGAAACACAGTGTTTGACAACCGACCCGACCCATGTCCCGTCCTCACAGTTCTGCAACTGCAAACTGACAGGGAGAACGGCTCCACCCCACTGTAGACAAAGCCACATGGCGCCCTGGTGCCTGCAGTTGTCCGTCAATCGATTTTAGCACAACGGGGCATCATCACCAGCCACAGCTGATCTGACGAGTGGCTGGTGAGGATCCATTTGAGACATCATCAACACCATGGACTGTTTCTTTCCTCATTATCCATGCATTCTCCGAGTCCTCACCTTCCACTTCAGTGGCGACGCCAACTTCGGTCTCACCTTCCCCTTTCAGCAATGGTGAGAATCTTTTGGAGAGTAACCTACCTCTACGGTCCTGAGTGCCGTTCATGGAATCCGTCACTTGCTCCTGCCCTCTATTGACCGAGTTGGCTTGACATTGGCAAGTGCAATGTCTCAGGAACTGTCGGAGCGGGTACGCGCTTCTGGTTCATCAGTGGTTCTTGCCATGCAAATTGAGAACTGGAACTGAAGTTTTCCTGCCGTGCGCAGTGTAGCACATGAGCCCAGTGTTAGTTTGCCTCTCTTCATTTAGTTCTATCCACGGAATACTACCAGTACCTACTTGTCACTTGAAGTTTCAATCATGATCCATCACGCTCTCCTCTGACGGTTACAAAACTTGTTACTACATGACCCCGGTTGACAAGCCCCAAAATGTCTCTGAAATGTCACGAAATTACGTTCCTTCTCGCCTTCACCCTTTTACCTTCGCTCCTGACTATCGCATCATCAGGCAGGCCTCACGGTGTTCCCAGACGTCGACAGTGACTTTGCCGTCATGAGATGATGCATCATCCCCGGTACTGCACGTTAACCTCTCGCTCGATCGTATCATTGCCGACTCTTAGCGACCATTTGGGCTCGCCCTCAAATTTCATCATCAACCGCAAGTTGTTCATGCGGCGGTGGACGTTGCCCATCGCATCCCTCATTTGTGGCAACTCGGTCCAAGGAACGTGGATATCATAATTGATGGTGCACAGATGTTGGACAGAGCCCGTGTGATCTCTCCTCACAGGGGGGGTCTCAGCATCGCTCGTCATTATGTATAGTTCCACGTTCCTCAGGTTGTCCGGGGTTCGGATGTACTTGTAGAACTCATATTCTACCGGCTCCCGGTTATCCACCGGCTCGTTCTACGCCAGTCTTGTCAGTATGTGGATTTCCTTGGAGACTCCTCACCCTTAGAGCTTCCCATACCTGTTTGAGATACCAGAACATCCTATGGACCATTTCCCTGCCATCAGGATTCGTATAACATCGGTCTATTGACCGGTCGAGAGGTGGATTCACTGCGTCAACGGGGCAGCCGAGCTCGACGCCATAGCTGAACCTAGCTACTCGCGAGACGACAGAAGGCAGTGTTGGGATGGCGTCGGATGTTCCCTTCAAAACAGCGATCACAGCTCCTCTTGCTACAGCCGACCATCTGCGTCAAGATTTGGGTTAGTCAACGGCCCCTCTTCTGCAAGCGCGTATGCTCTGGGTCGTTGAAGGGGTTCATACGCTCGTACTGGCTGTAGTACGTTCCGATGCAGTCCATTGAGCTGATTGTATAGGTATGGCGAACCACCAAGGCCGCCAACCAGAAGAATATTCTATACATCCATTATTAGCCTCGGCATGCAGAAAGGCAACGATCTTGACTTATTTCGAAGCCTACCTTTGGGCCACCCCCATACTTCTCCCGGATCATGGATATCTGCTCACTAATGAGAGTCCGAATGCCCGTGAAGGTCTTGTGGAAGAAAACCTCGACAGTGTCCCTGTAATGCTGTCAGTTTGTCTCCCGCTTCGTAGAGGTACTGCGGATGCGGACATATACTTACTTGTGGATAGGAAACCTGTCCGTCGTTCCTTTGAACTTCTTGATCATCGAAAACACCCTGGCTGGAGGCCTGATCACGAATGTTTCTTGAGTCTCTCTGCCACTAAAGGTTCGCTTCATAGTGTGCTCCCACTCATCATTCATGAACAAGCGAAACTCATTGGCCTCGACCTTCCCAAATTTCAGGCCGGATTTTATCTTCATCCAATCCTCGAATGCGCTGTCAACGAGGAAAGCGCCACAAAGTTTGCCTTTTAGCACCGCTGTTAGTAGTTATACCTATCATCAGATGGACCGTTTCCTTACCGTCTCCTTTGACAGCTTCTTTGACCTGGAAAGGGTCGGTCGAAGTGACCTCATAGCTAATGATGTCCTAGCCGAAGAGTTAGTTACTCGAGCTTGATGTGACAACGAGGATGGAACCAAGAGCCCCACAACTCACCACCGTGCCACCTCCACAATCGCAGACGATGAAGGTCTCTCCGACATTAATGTTAGGATGATCCCTTTGCTCATATAATGTCGACAAGGCTGCCGCTTCTGGCTCTTCAACCAATATGAGCTTCGTTTCGCCGATTCTCCTTCTCGCATTAATGCCCGCTCTTCTAGCCGCCTCCTTCAGTTTTTCTCGCGCATATACCGGCCAGATGGCAGGCACAGTCACAGCAACCTTCAAAGGCAACGTGTCAATATTACCCATCTCGCGTTCGATGTCTTGCAACGCATGATCCCACATGTTCTTGAGAAATTTCGCGATAAGGTCAACCACACCGTCTCCGGCGTACTCTGGAAGCCTCTCCAGTTGTTGGCGCGCCCGTCCCAGATACTGCGAGTTGCGAACATCCTCTTTGGCGTCTTGGTCGTTGAGGAGCAGCAGCTTGAACCAGCGAATTGGATCGTGATTTCTGGGAATCTTATAACCCCAATCGCCCGTCCCAAGGTCGACTTGAGTGGGGATTTGGACCTCATCTCGCAAGCTCGGATCGATAGAGGGCCAGCCTCTGACGTCACGGATAACATCTGGGTTGCCGGAGAATGTCCAGGAAACTCCTGAGTAGCTGAACTGCGTTAACTCACAGCAACAGGGTAGCGTTTATTGCAATCACACGAGAATGTTACTTACGTTGTTCCAAAGTCAATCCCAATCGCGATGTACGTACGATTTCGCCTTGGTCGTGACTGCTCTTGGGAGGCAGATGCAGTTGGCCAGGACGATTGTGGAGAACCTTGGCTGTGCCCATAACTTGGTTGACTAGGCGGTAACAGGGAAGGAGGATACTCCAAGGAGCTGAACATTCTCGCAGCATGTAGGGGAGGACTTCTTGACGACATTTTGGATAATCTGCTCGGATCAGTGATTTCCATCTTACTCCGACATGATACTTGAAATCTCTTTCAGCGATCAAGTTATAGAGAATGGAAGAGGAGGGTCTATGGTAAGTCAAAAATCCCCGTTAGAAAAGCTCGCTGAGGAATATTGAGGGTCCCGAGAAAGCCCCTGAGTACTAGGACCCGAGCGGGCGGATGCGTCCAACTATGACTAGGAAATGAGAGGGATGGTCTAAGAGTGGAAGAATTTTTGCTAACAGCGGGGAAATGACCCTTAGAGCCCTTCTTTCTTCGTGATCAAGGGCGATCCATCACCGAGATACACGCAACCCCCTTCGGCAAAAATATCACTTTTCGCTTCCATTAGATGCCACAGCCTTGTCGCTCTGGCTGAAGACGCCACTGCTGCTTCTCACATCCGGCTCGCACGATGGACATTACCCCTCACTATCTCTGCCCAAAGCTGTACATGAGGCTGAGAATCGGAACCATCATTGGTGGGGTGCCTGTAATGGTTGCCTTCTTTGCGCGGGCTTATCGCGAGCTGCATTTCCAACCTCGCCAATATTTCTCATTTGGCCCAATTAGACTGCCGTCGGCTCATCCGATATGTGTCAACATTGAGCCTGTAGTGAAACCGGTGGCTTTGATTTGAAAATCTAGCCCGTGCTCGGGCATGGCTAGGTGTGAGCGGCTGAAAGGTTATGCATCACGAATCACGGCAGAGTCATGCTTGGCCGGCGCGTACACAGCCTGATCACGGCGTGAATCCATGGAGTAGGTGTCTAGAACCAGATCAAGAACTTGGCCACAGATGGACGGCGTTTTCATTCTCTATTACGGCACATCGTATTTGGGGCATACATGTGCTGGGGAATTCTTTGCCGGATAGAATTACCATCACATCAAGTAAGTCTATTTGGGCCCCAGTCACAGGGATAGTGGAAACTCGATTTACTCTATCAAGCTACTCGTTCATCGTCATTGCAATCCAGAAAAGATGGTGACAAGAAGAGATATCCGTACGGACGGAATGGTGTTGGTGATGGGCGTCACCGGGGCCGGGAAGAGTACCTTCATCAACACACTCAAACCCGGATCTGTTCATGTTGGGCATGATCTGGAATCAAGTAAGTAATAATCTTTACAGTGTATCATGCAAATCAATGAGAAGCCACAAGAACTTCACTAATCAAGATTGACAACGCAAAAGCCCAAGCGCCTCCTCAGGCCGTCCAAATGTTCCTAGACGAAGAGGAGCAGTTCTCTGTCACCGTAGTTGACACACCAGGCTTTGATGACACTTGGCGCTCCGACGCGGAAATCCTCGCTGATATCACCGAGTATCTCGCCACTCAATACGCTTTGAAGATCCCGCTCAAGGGCATCATCTACTTGCACCCCATCTACGAGAACCGGATGAAGGGCTCGGCCCGCAAGTACTTTGAAATGTTCCGGCTCCTGTGCGGCGACCAGGCGCTCAAGAACGTTATGCTCGTCACCACCCGCTGGGATACTGTCGGCCAAGCCCCCGACCAGGTCGGCGAAGCGCTGCGGCGCGAACAAGACCTGCTGGATAACTGGTGGAAGCCGATGTTGAAACAGGGCGCTAACGCTGCGCAGTTCAAGGGGACCAAAGGATCGGCTGAGGCGATGGTGCTTGAGCTGGTGAGAGATCGGGACGAGGTGGTGCTGGATGTCCAACGGGAGCTGGTGGATGGGCAGAAGGAAGTCGGGGAGACTACAGTTGGGATGCCGTTTATGAACCAGCTGGATAGTGACATCGCCAAGTGGAAGAGGGTACTAGTGAAGACGGATGAGGATTTGGCACTCGCGAGGGAGATGGAGACCGATATGCGTAGCCAGGGTTGGAGGGGCGATGCGATGAAAGACGTGGCGGATCGTATCGGTTTGTTGAAGGAGAGAAGAAGAGAAGCGGAGAAGGTCGTGAAACAGTTGGAGACCACGCAGAAGAAGATTCAGGTCAAGGTAGGTGAGAAGGCGAAGCTGCAAGTGGCGGAGAAGATATCGGCCTTTGGAGGAAAGTTTGACCCTGTGGCGAGGGCAGCAACAGTGTTCGCGGCGGTGTTGAACATTACTCTCACCGTTGTGCAGTTCGTGGTTATGTAAGATCCCATGGTACGTCTACGAAAGGCACATAACAAGTGCTCTCACTTCACGAAATAGCATATTGAACAGCAATGTCATGAAATCGAGCTAACCCGCGACGTAGAACCAGGCAGGGAGTATTACTGGGTCTGTTGTGTCTGGCCCAACACTGCTATAGCCATTTGGACACATCCCATTGTGTGACATATAAGCACCGCGAAGGGGTTAAATTAGATCTCGTTGGAATCTCCCAGACTGACTTGTACCAAAACAAATTGAAAAACAGGCTAGAACGCGGATATCCGATAACAGGCAGAAACGCCGAGTCCATGTTCAGCGTGGCTTGAGTCGAGACTTGGCGGCATGATGCCGCCCTACATTTCTTCACACCATGTTGAAGACCGATAAACAAGGGGAACAGATAGGTACTGGCTCCTCGGTGTCCCCCTCTCTCTGCCTAACGATTGTGTAGTAACACTGTGCCAGGTGCCTTCTAGACAACTTACCATGGACGAGGCTGTGGGGGCTGAGAGTATGTCCAAGTGCATAGCTTCATGCCCTCCTTCCAACTAAAACTTTCCATTGACATTCATCCTCCGATGTATGCATGGTTTTATTTTAAAGTTACACGGTCCGAACGTTAGAGCCCAATACAGTTTATCCCAAATCGCTCTCTTCGCCAGAAGACTCGTCTTCATTCCGCCATCACCACACAACACTTGCATCTTTCGGAGGGTCTCTTATCTCTCTGCCGCGGTTTCTCTTCGAAACTCTTTTGAACGATGGGTAACAAGCACTATCCTCCTAACTCCTCCCAGGTAGCCGCCTCACCTGGCCGATTTGCACCTCTCCCTGCTCCCCCGGTTGCTACAGTCAGCCTTTCTACGACCAGTCCAAACTGGGGTCAGGACGATGCTAGTCGTCGTCATCACAGTTTTGACACGGTTAGAAAGGGAACTGTTCCTTCGTCACCGGCACTCTCGTCTATAAAGAAGACTTCATTCGTCAAAAGATTCATCAACCACCTGAACAATAGTACCAACCAGCTCTCCATGAGGTCGGAAAGTAGGCTTGATAATCGGAACCACGGCTTTGACCGCACCGATAATGGAGCTCTCTACCTCACAGAGTCGAAAGTCGATGCGGTTGTAGAGGTATTAGCCTCATCCACCACAACCACAACAACCACCACAAAATCACCCGGGTCAGACATGCTCCAGAAAGAACTACCCTTGCCTCCTCCTCCGAGAGCTCCTACGGCTCCTCCGCTGTTTAGAACATTTGACACTGAGCGATCACTTGCTGTAAATGGAGACACTGCCCGGACTGGAATGTCTCTAGATCTGGGCCTAGTTTCCTCAACAGCCTCTCGCCCAGGTCTCGTCTCACAACTTTCGGACACCCCATCTCTTGGTAACCGGTCTCTCAGGAAGGACGCTTCACCTACTGAAACCGCTGCACTCTCAATCATACAACGGTCCTTCGTCACCCAATGTCAAGAAACACAAGGAACCGAGCATACGATCGTAGCCACCGGGACCCTACGAGCATTTGGACATCAACCTGCACAATATCACCAACAAACCAATTCCGCTCTCAGTCCGTTCCTTACGCCGAGTTTCCTTTCAACCCTGTATCAGGGTACAACCAAAGTGGAATCACGACGTACCACGCGAACAACAACAAAAGAACATCGGCCCTCTATCATAGCAACAACTCTGCAACCAGCAGCCCCGTCAGTCCCTCTGCTACTACATACGGCAGCAGTGATATTCCCAAGAGGAAGAAGCTGCTTCCATCGCAGCCGTCAAAACTTGAACAACAACACCAACACCAACAACACCAACAACACCAACAACAGCCACAACAGCATTATCAACAACCGCAACAAGACCAACGGCCATCACACAGCCGAAGACCAAGCCAACAACCCACGGGTTTCCAAGAACTGGAAAATTGCACCGTCCTGCTCGAATCCGAGCTCATCTCCGAGAGACAGCGGAGCGCAAACCTCCAGAACGAGAACTCGAGCCTTCAGAACCAGATCGACGACCTCCGCGATCTACTAGATGAAACCAATCAGCGGCAAGCGTCAGCCAACTACGGCTCTGGTGCGGCGGCTGGTAATCTCCTGCAGGGCAGCGAGGTCCGCCAACGATGGAAGACGCTAGGATGGCGGATACGGCAGTTTATTCATGCTGTTTCGAGTGGGGCTGGGGATGTGCATGTCGGTGCTGGTGATGACGACAGTGATGCTGATGATAGTGGTGGTGGCAGTAGATGGGGGCAGTTGTCAAGTGAGGAGGCTGTAATTCACCGCCAGCAACAACAGCGACATTCAAGGCATGGAACGTCAAAGACCCCGACAGCCAATGCCAATGACATCTTACGGTCTATCACCCCTCATTATCATACGCTGCTAGCGATGAAAGATGGCCGGCAATTGCTCGTTGAAGCAGCGATCTGGTCGCTTTTGGTAAAGGAGGTGTTTGGAACGAAGGAGACAACTAGCTGGATGCACTGGGCCGGGACTTTGTCTGGTAATCTGAGAGTTATGAGTAAGTTTCATTCTTTGCACTCTGATCTCCCTCTTGAGAGGTAATGAGGACTGACAAATATCAAAACAAATCCAGTAGCAGAAGCCTTCCAACGCGGCAACCAACAAAGCCCCAAAGGTTTCCACCGCTGGCGCTGCCACACCGCCAGCTTCCTCGCCACTCTACCCAGCGAGGCCGACATTCATGCCCACGCAGAGCTCGTAGTCCAAAAACTCGAGCATACCCTCTGGTACACTCTCACCGGGGGCGGCGGCGGTACCGCAGGTGCCAGTAACGGAAAATCAAAAAAGTCCCACGGCAGTGGCAGCAGCAAGGTTGGCAGTCTGAACAACCTCCGTTCCGGGCTCCTAGAAATAGTCATCTCCGCCATTCACTTCGACAAAGAGCTCTGCCAGCAGCGAGCATTCTGGTACTGCGAGTATCCCGCCAGTGCCAATGCCAGTACCACAGCCAGTGGCAGCACAAGCGGCAACATCAACAACCTCACCCGCTTCGACCCGCACCAAATGGAAGCCCTAAACGGTGACAGCAAAAGCATCGGCCAAGGAGCCGTGGTAACGCTGATGGTTTCTCCAATGCTAGTCAAAGCAGGTGACTCCTACGGCGAAGGATACGACATGCCGGAGACGATAGAGAAGAGCGTGGTGCATGTGGTGAGCAAGTACTGGGAGGATAATGGGTATGCACCAGCGCCGTCGCCGACGCCTTCGCCTTCGCCGTCTCCAGCTCCGGCTCCGATGTCTTCGTCGAGGAGTAAAGGTAGAGATAGGGGTATGAGCATGACGGGCATGGCCACGGCGCCAGAGTCGGCGGCGGGCGCTATGGTTGCTTATAGAGCTCCGTCTTCAAGGTCAGGAGGAGGAACTGGGAGGAGGTATGTTAGTAGGCCGACGGCAGCAACGATAACGGAGAAGATGAAGGAGGGGGCCAAGAAGGGGAAGGGGAAGAAATGGATCTTGGGAGGGTTGAAGAGGAGGACTGCGTTTAAGGGTGCGAGGTCGGAGTTTTATGATGGTTCATAGGGAGGCTGTCGTCGGGGGCCGTGGTCATGTGTGATCGGGTTGTTTTGTATGTGCCGTCTATTCTCATCAACTTGCAAAATCCATCATGACCTTGGTAGATGTCCTTGACTCTATCACTCGATATACCCCGTGCTCCAAATATTCAACCCAACTTTAACACCTTTCTTGACTGGCAATCCAGCATGCCACGACTCATCCCATCCTCTGCCAGTACCATCCGACCGGAAGTTCTCCCAGTAGACAGCGTTGCCCGGGATGACTTTGAAAGTCACGCCCAAGCCGTCGGGAGCTTGTCCCTGTTCATCTCCCCTGTCGGCCGTTTTCTCGGGACACTCAACGAAAGCACACCACCTGGAATCCTTCCGCCTCTTCATCCTGGGGAACTCGGTGCCACCACCCACGAGGCTGCCATCACCATCGTCAACCCAGACCATGAAGCTGCTGACACGGCCCCAGCCACCACGGTTGGAGCTCCAGTCAAAGTGATGGTTGTAATGGCCACCCGGGCGGTACCGCTGGGTGCGCAGCCTCTCGATGAAGACGTCGTCCCTCCAGCCCTGGATCTCGCGGGCCCGGTCCTCAATGCATCGTACGCTATCGGTGCGGGAATCATGGCCACTTCGGAGTCACGGACTGTGGTGTTACGGTGGGTTGTTTGGCCGCCATCGTTTGTGGTGGTGGATGGTTTAAAGAGAGGTTCACTGGGGATGTTAGTGGCGAAGAAGTACCCCACATTGGCTTACAAGAGCTCGATATACCCACCTGATGTCGAGCAAGTGATGTCGCTCGTCAGTGCTGAGAAAGTTCTCGACGTAGAGGACGAGTGGTTCCCTTGAGTAGACATGGACCACGGGGGCGGGAGTATGGGGCATGCATTGTGACGATGAGTTGCCTTCTAATGCAATAAGGTCCTCTTTAAGGCTGAGTTTGGGAAGCGGGATACGACGCAGTTGCGGGACCTGGCCAGGACATTGGGTCTGGTTCACACCGGAGAATAGAAGGTTGTTGATGGGGCTGTTAAAGACAACGAGAATGCCGATCAAAGCAACGGCATAAGACAACATGTTGGGAAACCAATGCGTCTAAGTCCGTGCCGCAGTAGTATGCATCTCTGTCAAGTAAATGCAAGAGTTTATGTTTTCAACTGACGGGCTTTGACCGGTGACGATGATGGCTGTACTAGCTTGCAACAGTTTGTGTACCAGAGAAGAAGATGCTGCTGGCATGGCGACATTGGGGCGCGGGAATCAAGGAACCCTGAATTCGCATTATTTGTGCCGCTGGAGGGGAAGAGGCGCAGTCAAGTCAAGAAGCTTCGATCCCAAAAACGCCGACGGCAAGTGGGGGGGGGGTTCAGTCCCTGTTGATGGACAAGGGAAGCATGTTTTCGATGTGAAACAGCGTGTGATTATCGGAAGGCGCACCCAGGACAGTGTCCTTATTTCCGTCATGTTTTGCAAGGGATGCCGCGACAGAAGAAGTAGGGTTTCCGTTAACCATGGGCTCTCATGTTCACCAATACTGTCGGAAGGCAGAAAGGGAAACGAGATGTCAACAAGGGAAGAAATGGAAGAAAAAGGGCTGGGCATGATGAAAGGATCAAAAGGTACAAGTTGATGGACCTCGGGTGCAGCTTCCACAAGAACTACTGTAGCTGTCAAACAACGAATCACTTGGGGGCATATTTGGGCGCCCTGACCCACATCGTTGGACGTCACCTCTCGGCTGCAGTTCAATCAACCTTGCAACCGCTTTTACCAATTGCATAACTTTCAACATTTCGGAGCGCAGAGCTGCCACATTTAGTCCCCGCCAAAAAGACCAATGTCTTCCAGGTCACTTCCGCCAATCTGGAACCGATAGCATCTTAAACCTACCCGAAGAAAACCCCCAAGCGGAAAACTGATCGACCATGGCGCCCGTAACCGCCAACCACCAAGAGGCCCAGGGTGCGTCTCTTCCCTCCCGAGCTATTCTTATCCTCCACGCCCTCGCGGTCCTTTTAACTAACTCATTCTGCCCTACAGAGTCGGTTAAGAATGTGATCCAAGACATCCTGAACCTCATGGTTCAAGTCTCGCAATACGACACCAACCCTTCCTCGAGCAACAACAACACACCTACGAACCGAGCCGGCGGCGGCGGCGGCCACCCCTCCTCGCGCGAAGTCATTACCCAGTCTCTCCAAACCCTCGACGCCTCGTTACTATCCGTCTACCGCACCGCGAGCCTCCTCCCTTCCTCCCCCTCGTCTCCGAGCCACTCCTCTCTCCCCGGCGGAGGAACAACAGAACTCGAACGCGCCGAAGCCGCTCAATTCGCCTCCACCTTCGCCAACACGCACAACCCCTACGCTCCCCACTTACACCAACCGGGCCCCCAAAACCCAGGAATCCCCATACCCTTGATCACGTACGTCGAGAACGGTCGAAACCCGGACGTGTACACACGCGAGTTCATCGAGCTGGTGCGCAGGAGCAACCAGCTGATGCGGGAAAGATGCACGCCTTTCGCGATTTCCGGGACGTTTTGGCGGGCGAGATGGAGGCCGCGTTGCCTGAGCTGAGGGAGGATGTGAGGAGGGTGGTGGAGGCTACCGGCGGACCAGGGCCGGCGGAAGGGTCAGAGGAGAAGGCGAGGGAGGGCGTCGTGGCTAGTATGGCCGTTGGAGGGGATGGTCAGGGACAGGCAGGTGGAGGTCAGGGACAAGGCGGCCAGCAGTAGGACCGTGAATCGTCGCTGGATGCTGATGCTCCTCCCAGACCCAGAAGCATGGGGTTCAAAAGAAGGCGATGCGGACAATGTGGACGGAAAACTGGCAGCGACGGTCCTCACCATTGCGAGGAGAGGCCCGGGATCGAAAGCCGCAGTCCTTCCCTTTCTGAGTGTTGATATGGGTCTCGTGGATATGTGTGAAGGCTCACATGGATAGTTGTTTTTGTCTATTGGGTACGGCGTTCAAGAAATAAAGGAACAAAGGGGATTCAGGCGTTTTGAGATAGGGTTACTCGAGGCAAACGGCGTTGGCGTGCCATGGCATGGCGTACGCATGAGGGGCTTGCTTCCACAATGGATCATACAGGATAGTATAGGAGCATGGATTTTGTGTGGGACGTTTAAACAGAAGGTTTAGAGCTTCATGGAGGAATACAAATACTTTGCAACTGGCCATGCATTCCTGATGCGAAAGGTCAAAAGCGAAATAATGGATATTCCGGAGCCAGAGAGAACATCAGCAGCTGCTAGGAAGAAGGCAACGAAAGGACTGCCCAGGTTCCTTCCCTCTCATTCTCCCAACTAAAACCACTCCATCGTCATCTTTTATGACAATCAAAAAGAATGGCAACCAAAACCAAAGGAAAAGCAAAGATTAATCCAAGCCAACACACCCAAAACAAAACACATCTGACTAGCTAGCTAGTGGAGCCAAAAGCGAAAAAAAAGAAGTGGACGAGCTGGGAATCGAACCCAGGACCTTTCGCATGCGGTGAAACATGCTAAGCGAACGCTCTACCAACTGAGCCACACGCCCTTATTTGTTGTTGCTGTTGTTTATCGTCACAGATCTTTAGTATAAGTAGAAACGTCTAACCCGGACGGTAGGCGACACTGATCATGATAATGAGGGGGGACTGCCCTCGACGAGGACACTGCTCAATTTCTTATACTCTATTAACGCTACTGATTAATCTACTTCTAACCCACTCAGAACAATACTTTAAGGAAACACTGGTCAAGTTTTAAGATAGTGACTGGAACTACTGCCGTCCAAACAACCTCTTCAACTCAGCATGCCCGCTCCTCCGTTTCGATATGGTTTTTACAGGGGCAGGCATCACAGACGTACCACTTCCGGAGGTTGAGTTTCCATCCACCACCGGATTACCACTCGCGCTCGGACTTCGAACAACAAATTTTGCTCTGAAACCTGAACCTCCCTTCTCCTCTCCAGTTCCCGGAGACGACTCCGCTGACAAGGCTGCCCAGGTCGACGATCTTGTGGTTGAGGGGGTGTTTCCTTCTGTGGTAGAGCCGGCCGTTGTGATTGATCCAAGTGCTGGGTCGCCCTTGATGCTGGGCCTTTTCACGAATCTTCTGTTTACTGTGAAGTTTAGGGGTATGGGAGCTGTGGGACCGTGGAGGCCATGGGGACCATTGGGGCCGTTGGGGGGACTGACGGGGGGACTGTACGGTAGAGTGGGTGACTGAGGTTTGGGTGAGTGAGGTTTGGGTGACTGAGGTTGCGATATGAGGTGATGACTTTGCCCTTGACCATGATCATGAGCTCCTTCACGGCGAATAGAGTGGGATATCGACCGCCCAATCGTCGTCTGGCCCTGGTTATTCGGATAGCTCTCCGCTTGAGGCACCTGGCTTACTCTAACTCCCTCATCAAGAACCCCCTCCCTCCGTATAGAATGTGACACAGACCTCCTTATAGAGGTCCTTTCCCCAGGGACACTTTGGTATGACGACTGCAAGAACGACGAAGGCGGCTGAGAAGTCGAATACATCGAAAAGCGGTTCCCCGACTCTCTCTCCGTTTCCCCAGATGAGCTGAGGTTGGAAGAGGTATCCTTCAATTGCCCCTCCCACCCCCTCGTGATCGCGCTCACCCCAGGCCCAAGTCCACCCGCCCGTATCGAGGTGCGGACCGACGTCGAAGGGGAAGAAGAAAGGAAACTACTGGGATTTGTACTTGTCGACGGTTTGACGGGTTGATACCGCTCTAGATACTCGGAGCTTGTTGAGACAACTGGTATCGAGACTGCTGCGGAACCCATTCTGTTCATGGATGATTGTCCTGCTTGTCCACTTCTAAGAATCTGGATCGGCTTCGGCAGATTTGTTGCCCGGAGCTCATGGGTCTGGACTCTTTGCGGTCGTATTGCTGGGCTTATGGGCTGGAGGTGTGGGGAAGAAGAGTAAAGACTCGTATCAGAGCGGGTGGGGGTGAGTGGGCGGTAGGGTTGTTGGAGGACGCGTAGGAGAGGGAGTGGTTGGTTTACGGGCGTGTGGCGCTGATCTTTGCTTGCGATGCCTCTTTCGAAGATGGTGGCGACGCTTCGAACTGAGGATGGGCGAGAAGAGAGCTCAGGCTGTGTGACGGTAAGCGGGCTTGAAGAGACATCCGAGTCCGTCGGGAGCCATGAGTCTCGGGTTGGGTCTTTGGCTGAAACCTTGGCTGTTGTCTCCTTGGAATGGTTAAAGGACATGGAGGGGACAACAAGCGGTTGCTCGCTCACGAAAGATGTTCCAGTGCGAAGATTGGGAGTTCGTCGGCCAAGGACTGACGAGGGCCTGGATATAGCGTCGATGGGCGGCACTGGGCTTGTCGCTCGGGGTGAGATTGCACCGGATCGTCGACGGGTTGATGCAGCGCGAGAAGCTGTCGGCTGAGGTGGTGTCTGGATAACTGTGGCGGTAGACGAAGTCTCTGATAATCCTTGACTGATAGGTCGCGGCGTCGAGATCGTGCTTGTGTGATCGGTCGTTTGTTCTCTGGGCTCATCATAACTCGAGTTGACAGCTAATGCAGATTCGGTCTTGGGTTCGAGATGCTCCCGCGCTCCCGATCGCATCCACTCAGGTATAGACTTCATCAAGGTCGGTCTGAAGGACTCTCGGCCGACGGGGTCGAAGATGTTAACGTAGATAGTCTCGGGTTCGTCTGAACCAGAGCTTGAGGCCATCTCGTCCCTCGTCTTGAACCGTTCATCTACCGCCCCCCTCCTCAACGGCAGTAAACCACCTTTACCACCATCCCCAATCAACTCTTTCTCTTTCTCTCTTTCCTTCTCCTTCTCCTTCTCCCCCTCCCTCATATCCCACCTCTGTCTCGTTAACCCTCCATCCACTTTATCAATCCTCTCCAACCCTTGCCTCACAAGAACCTTCTCCAAGTCCCTCTTCTCCCCATCCTTATTTCCATCCTCAAGCCCTTCCTTTCCTTCAACTTCAACCAAACACGCCTTACAAAGCGGCACCTGGTCAATCTCCCTCCCTCTCTTTCTACCCAGCATCTTTCTTTCCGTCTCTCTCTGCCTCTCTCTGTCCCTCTCCATTCCTTCTTCCCCCTTTTCTACAATCTCATCCCCCGTACCCGTCTGCACTTCCCCAAAAACCTCCCCCACATCAACGCGAGGCCTCACAACCCTCTTACTCCCACACAACAAACATCCATAACAAGCTGTATGCCAAAAACACCACCCCAAGCTCACGCACTCCTCCCCGCGCACGACCACCTCGCCGCACACCCAGTAGATGGACAAGTCGATTATGGCGCGGTAGCAGGGGGGACAGGCTGGCCTTGGGGTTGGTGTCTTTTCTTGCTGCGGCTACTGGTAGACGTTGTGGTAGCTGTGCTGTGAAAAATGTGTCGCTGCGAAGAGGGGTACGAGCGCCAGCAGAAGGTGCAGGTGAATGATTGTTGTTCTTGTTCGTGAATAACAGTGGTTGTGGTGACAGTGGTCATTGTGGTTGGGGCTGGGTTATGGGTGCCGCCGCCACCGCTGCTGTTGGACCTTGATCTTGATCTTGACTTGGACTTATTAGAAGATGAACGCCGAGGAGTGGTGTGAAGTGCGGAGTCGATAGATGAGAACGAGGTGCGGTTACTGAAGGCAAAAGAGGAGGAACGGGAAGGGGGTCTAGGTGGGTTTGTGGCGTCTTGGATTCTTCTTGTTGACGGTCCTCGTTGGATATTGAGCGGTTGACGGGGAGGGGGTTGTTGCGATTGAGAGGTGGGGAAAGAGGACATGGTGAGCGATGTTGAGGCTTGGGGAGGTTGATTGTCCTCATTGAGAGGGACGTTGGTTTTTTACCCAAGGGCGACGACCTGATGATGGATGTGTGATAGGTCTTGGAGTTGTGGTAGGTAAAGGTGATGATCACATCTTATGTGACTCGAAGTCCGGAATAAGATGCGCTAGTCGGTACAGGTACTAGAAGCAAAGGTCTGTCTGTTAAGTGCGAATTAAGGTGCATATGTATACCGAACCCCCTCGAGCAGAGTTGAGTTGGTTGAGACTGGGTAGATATGGAAAAGCTGGTTGGCGGAAAGCGAGAGAATCCCAATGCCAAATTGGTCAAAACAAATCCTCTGCGGGCTTCTGATGTAGAAATAGCATCTACCTAACACCGGAGAGATGTCCAACTTAAAAGCATCCATGTCGGTTGATGTTTTGTTCCTTTTTCTGCGGCAAAGATCGGAAAGGACTGACCGACATCAAAACTGGCAGGAATCATCAAGCTTTTCAGACCGCGCCTTCCTAGCTGAGATGTACTATCGGTCATAAGATGAGGTCACTCATGTCTCCTCCAGGCGGAAAAACACTGAGTGGCAGTAGCGACTCTGAAGACAGAATAGCTTTTTTCTTCTTCTTTTTTTCCTTTTTCCTTTGTGTGTTGACGTTGACTTGAAAGTGTGGAATCGGAAATTCGCCAGGGATTCACAGCCAACAGATCTTGTATCAATCACGGACACTCAACCAAAACTTTACAAAATGTTGAGATGACTGAAACACTCACTTACCTGAGCACCGTTTTCTCAACCATGATCCCCACCAGCATCTGGCCGGAACAACATTCAATGTAGTGTACCAGTAGTCAACCCAGCCAACGTCGGCCGTGAACCTGAAAGCCCTAAAACAAAAGGTCACGCAATCACTCATTTCCTGCTACCCAGATATGGAGATTCGCTTCTTTTTGTTCTCATTTCTTCCTATCCTGTTCTCAAGCTATTCATGTAGCAATGTTGGGGGATTGGATGCTGCGTTTCTAAAAAAAAAAAAAAAAAAAGGTTGACAAAAAGGTGGACAATAGTCTCGCCGATATACTGGCGATCAGTTCTAAACGATGACGCTGTTGTTTCGTATTGCATGAATGGACTTAAATCCATTTCCTTCCATCCGTGTTTCCTTTCTTCCATTCCATCTTGGGAGACGGAGTGAGTACATACCCCCCCCCCCCCCTTTTCTCCCTGAGACGGGTCGAGATGGCTTGGATGGCATAGAGTGTTGGCAACTTGCCACGGCGGTTGATGTTCGAGTTTTGGGTATCCTCCCCATCGTGCGGCTTTCTGTGGTGTCCCCCATATGGGAAGCATCAAAGCTCAATGTCTCATCCTCGCCCGTTTGCGATACATCACCACGCCTCTTCCCTATAGCTTTCTTTGCCGTTGCCTGCTGTCTCCAAGGGCTTGGGGTCTTCTTCGGCTCGGACCCAACGGTATAAAGCAATCGCTCTGACATGTGAAAGAACCCGTCATGTTCTGTCTTCTTTCCCGTCTTTTCCTGATAACTTCCAGCCGGTGCCTGACTTTCATCCCATACCTTTTCAACCAAACTTGGTGTGTTCAAAATCATCGTTTCCACCCGTAAAATAATTGACCGGCAACTCGGTAGAACGGTGACAAAATCAACGGCTCGTGGAGGAAGTGCGCTGTTAGTTTTAACCGCAGCCAACCCATCCTTACCACAGTCTGCCTCACTCACGTCGGACACCTAACCTTCAAAGACACCGGAGGGGAGATGGCCCTTGTCGACTAACGGAAGTATAACTGGGAATCGCAACACAAAGAAATCCGAATGGAAAAGCTAGGTCCATAAACCAGCGAGCCAAAACCATTGACCATTTATCCACCTAATCCTCCTTCCGGAAACCGCTCATCAAGGTCATGATAATGAAAAGAAAATTCTAGTCCATATAAGGCTGCAAAGGACTGAATGTGCCTTGTCCATAAGCAGCGGGGTCGTGGTAGTGAGAGTGGTGAATTTGTAGAATAAATCTGGACGATAGCACTGTCTCGGTAACCCGATGACCACTTTGGAATGGTGCATCCACGACAAAACAGGACAACGCTTGGTGTGATGCGTGCGCATTTCCGCTTGATGCATGAAGAGAGGGCCACAAGCCAGCAGCATGCTAGTGTCATTGACATGACGGATTCGTCCCAAGAACATGATGACCCGGTTGCAGTATTTCCAGTCTTGCTCTGCTTGCCGCATACTCTTTGGCGAAATTTTTCGAGGTCCGGACGTCTGCGCAGCATGGCTTTGCTGTTGAATCG